TGATGAAAAAGTGCTTCCGGTGACATCACCGGAAGCACTTTTTCATCAAAAAAAGATGGCGGCGCCCAGCTGATGCCGGTACCGGGCTGCGGCATAAAAAAGGTTGGGGATCACTGGTTTGGAGAACCGGCAAATACCACCTCTGGCTGGAGACTTTACAGTATCCTTCTGCTGCCATGCCCACCAAGCCACGCCCACAGAACACACCCATTGTTCCAGACTCCTTATCATCTTTGTTGCTCTCCGCTGCACGCTTTCTAGGGCCTCGGTATCTTTGTTGTAACATGGTGACTAAAACTGAATGCAGTATTCCAAATAGGGCCTCACTCATGGTGCTACCATTTCCTGTGTTCTTGATGCTATCCCTCTCTTGATGCATTGGCTTTTTGGCAGCTACGGCACACTCCTGACTTATACTTAAGTGTTGGTCCACCAGAATACTTAAATCCCTTTCACAGTTACTACTATTGAGCAGGTACTGCAAATCCTGTACCTCAGCACCTTGTTTCTCCTGCCTAAGCACAGGGCCTTACTTTTCTTGCCACTGAACTGCATCTTGTTAGAGTCCAATGCTTAAGCCTGTCAAGAGCCTTCTGAATCTTGAGCCTATTTTCCAAAGTAAGTAATTTGTCCCGTAAATTTTCTTTACATATAAAAATAATGGTTAGTTGCAATCTAAATGCTTCCTTTGGGGATGCATTCTTTCCATAGGAAAGGAAGGAAAGAAAGGAAGGAAGGAAGGAAGGAAGGAAGGAAGGAAGGAAGAAAGAAAGAAAGAAAGAAAGAAAGAAAGAAAGAAAGAAAGAAAGAAAGAAAGAAGAAAGAAAGAAAGAAAGAAAGAAAGAAAGAAAGAAAGAAAGAAAGGAAAAAGAAAGAGAAATAAAAGAGAAAGAGATAATATTCTTAGTCAATGGCAGAGTCCCCAATTATAATGAAGGAACGCTCTGTCTGCTCCCAGCCAGCCACCTCCATGGCTGTCAGTTTAGAGAGATTCCGCATGTTCTCAAGTGTGTTCATCAACCCCCCAAAATTGGGATTTCCAGGGTTCAGGAAAAAGGGGAGTAAGCAAAGTGATTGTTTCACTAGTTCATAATATGGCTTCCATATTACATGAAATTGGTTCTTGTGACTTAGCACGTTGTGTGACCTCTGCCAATTGTGGTAAGGTAAATAATAATAATCCATGGTGGGTGCCAATTAGGAAGTCTCCAACTCAGATCTCATTTCTGTCAAGAAGTGATGAAGTGGCTTTAGGCAAGGAAATACTTTTTTTTCAGAAATCTGCAGCAAAGCAGGGATATTTTTACTGGTTTGTCTTTCTGGATGGTTGGCATTCTTTTAACTGAAAATAATCTATAAAAATCACTGATAGCTGTTTTGGTCCATAAGAATTTTTCCCCAAAAATAAAATTGATTTTTTTTTTAATGACTAATAACTCATTACTCATGCACATGGATTTTGAGCTACCCAGAATTCTTCCATCTACATCTGTATGCAAGGTGATAAAGCTTGAGTCTACAGTTGTTAACTATTTTAAAATGCAAAGCAAATGGAATTAATGCAAGAAGGTATATGTGTTGTGTTTGCAGTTCCCAGAATTTCATGCCATCATGAAGCCAAATTGGAGAAGGCAAGATTAGACCAATAACCCCTTTCAGAAATTCAGTATCTATTGAGAAGACAATTTGAAAAGGCTGTTTGGCTGAGAAAGATTACAATTAACTTCTCTTCCCCCTTCTGTCCACAGCTAATTCACTTCATTTGGAGCAAATTTTAGGTTGGATTGTGTGTGTTAATTCTATGGAAATGTCATTGAACCTAGTGCTTTCTAGATATGTTGACTATAGGTTTTGGGAGGATGCATGAGAGCATGAGGAGGATGTGTCATGTGGATATTGTTCTAAATTTTCACAATCTGAAATCTAGGAAAATGCAGTCGCTGAAATTGTGATCTGATCTGGATTTCCCAATCAAGCAATGCCTGTTTATAATATGTCCTTTCAAGCATATTTGGCCATAATCCATTCTCAACTGCTGAAATTACTTTATGGAAGAAAAAGAGTCCAATTCATTGGTTTCAGCCAAAGTTAAATGCTGGCAGAACTCACAAAAGATGCTGTGGACTGAACAAATAAAGTCAGCAGAGGGCAAGAGATGGCTGGTTTTATCCATATCATATTTGGGATTAAACTATTATCTCCACTTTACCATGTTTATATAAATAGAAAAACATATCTAATTAAATCCTACTTAGTTTTTCAAGAAAAAAAGCTGGAGATACAGATATGTGAAAAAAGCTTATCCACTTCTAAACTTACTACTAAACAGCATGAAAGACACCTTCCTAATAGAGTACCTTGTTTGATGAGGTGGGTAGCTACGTAATAAGCAAACAAGGAAATAGATAAATAGTGATTGGTCACAAGATCCTACCATAATGCTATTGATAAAGAAAGAGACAGGGATGCTATGGGACTGCCAGGACTTTCCAAGTACAAAGATCAGCAGGCGTGAATGAGGGCTTTAGGCCCTTTGAAGTGATCTTTGCAGCCAGAATCTTGTAGCATTAAGCAAAGATTAATCTCCTTGAAAGTCCATGGTCAGAATATTACAAGAATAATAATTGTGATCTTCCTATCTCTTATCTTTTAATCTTTGGAGACAAGGATTCAATCTTCTGTGTTTCGGAGAGGTATGGCTGAATAAGGCTCGTTCTTAAAATAAGTCTGAACCATACCTGATCATTAACAAGGATGTGAATTCCTGTAGGCCCCTGTTTGGAAACTTGATGGACCTGATTGGCTGGGACGCTAAGCAATTCTGCTAATTTATTAGTCAGCTCCGTGGCAGTCAGTTCCTCCAGATATAATTCCTGGTATATAACTTTTGGGAAAGAAACATCAATGCGTGAAATATCGTGCAGTTTTAAGAAATACAATTTTTAAAAAATGATTTATACAACAATTATGTGATCGGTGCTTAAACGTTGTGAAGGAGAGACTGTAATCTCCCAAAAGAGCAGCGTAGCTCCCTTGAGCATCATTGTGCCTGCAAATTCCTCCCCTGCTGCTTGCCACACTCCACCTCATCTTAATTTGTTTTGTAGACTCTTTCATCAAAACCAGAAAAAAGAAACGCAACCACCTGGCATGCTGCAATGTAAAACACCAGCTTCCATCATCCTCATTACTTCCAAGAATGCCTCAAAGCCCTAAATGACTCCCTTAGGCATTCTTAGAAAATGGTTTGGTGCTTTGTTTAGAGCTATGCCCTTCTGGCAAGAAAAGCTGAGAACTTAGAAGGGACAATGAGTACTGACTTCGATCAGTTTTGTTCTGGGTAAATTAGTGTTTTTGCAACCAGCTACACCTGCCTGGGAACCATTTTGTGAATAGGGAAAATGTCTTCCAAGACAGCTGTAAGTTGCTGGAAAATTCCAGAGCCTCTTGTTTCAATGCTTTGCCAGATCGGTTTGTTGTTTTGCTTAAATTTACATAGATGCCACTTTTCAAAGCTGCTGATATTAAGCAGAACATAAACATAGTATGCAATATTGCATATTTTAAAAAATGCAAAGCACTGAATGTGTGGCTAAAAGGCCTCCTCAATCAATGGAGATGTGTTCGGATTGCTTTCTGGGAGGTGCATATAGGTACCCAAAATCATATTTATGAAATAATTCTGACTTACCAGATGCTGGGTTTGGGGGAGCATTGTTCCCACTTGCTTCTAGTTCCTTGGACACATAAAGAATGAGACGAGGGCGCACAGTCCTGGAAAAACAGAAGGAAGTCAGGCCACTTTCTGTGATGTACCAAGACCTGGCAGGATAAAATGATTTCAAGGATTAGCTACAAAATTCTCACCAGCTGGAAACTCATTTGATGGTGGCAGTGTTGAGAGGGGATTTGTGGGAGGAGCAGCCTAAATAAAGTCAAGAAAACAGCCACAACTGTGCAACTGAAGCCCCGCTTCCTTTTATAATTCAGGTGAAACAAGAAGGACCTCAGTCATCTAGAACATAGTAAATGTTCTATGTGACTGAGGTCCTGCCCCTTTTACCTAAATTATAAAAGGCTTGGAGTTTCAGTTGCGTAGTTGTGGCTGTTTTCTTGACTTTTTAGGCCACTCCTCCCACAGACACCCCCCCCCCCAACATCTCAATTATATGGTTGCTGAATGGTATGAGTAAGCTAGACTTCTAAGTTCACAAGTATCACATATATTTTCACCGCAAGCTTGGGATGGCCAGATACAAAAAAAAAGAAAGTTTAATAGCCTGAAAGAAAATGGAATTTGACCCTCTTCTCAGTTCTCAGATTAAGGAGCCCATCCTCTTTTATATTTGGCTATTCTGAGCTTGTCGATCAGAAAGGTAGGCAGTTCAGCGGTTCGATTCCCTAGCACCAAGTAATGGAGTGAGCTCCCACTACTTGTCCCAACTTCTGCCAACCTAGTAGTTCGAAAGCACGTAAAAATGTAAGTATAAAAATAGGGACCACTTTGGTGGGAAGGTACCAGCGCTCTGTGTGCTTTTGGCGTTTAGTCATGCCAGCCACATGACCATCGAGATGCTGACTCTTTGGCTTTGTAACGGAGATGAGCACCGCCCCCTAGGGTCGGGAATGACTGGCATGTATATGCGAGGGGAACTTTTACCTTTATTCTCCCTAAGCTATTTTTATAAATTTCCCAATTTTTTTTAAAAAAGTATTAATTTGGGGAGAAGAGGGAATTGAATAAATTAAATTAAAATTCAGTTGTTATACTGACAACTCAATATAGCTAGCAGGTTGTAAAACAGTATGGGAAGGTATATTTAGGTTTAAAATAACAATAATTAATATAGAATAGGAAGATACCTTGGAGGTTATCTAGAACAATTGCTCAGTGCAGGATTCCCAAACTAGCACATGTCTCCTAAAGGCCATCCAGCCTCTGAATGCATGAAGACTCACCAAAGGCACCTGTCTCCTAAAGGCCATCCAGACCTTTAATGCATGAAGACTCACCAAAATATATAGCCTGTCTCACTGGCTGGCAGCTCAAATAGTCCGGAAGCTCCTCCTTTGTCTAATCTGAAGTCCTTCCTAATAGTTAAGCCTTGGCTCTGGTTTTCTTCTCATGTAATCATTGAATCACAACAATACTTACTTTGAGAGTGGATTAGATTTGATTTTACATTTCATCATGTGTTTATATTAAAAGTTCAAGCTTGACCTTTGGTGACTTCATGGACTGTTTTGTGAACTTTCTTTGGTCTCCTAGGACAATAGTTTCATTCTTTCCCAGTGTTTATTTCTCCTTTAATCTCCTTTCTACCTTTATTCATAACTCCATACCTTGCTTTTAGAGCATTTGAAAGTCTAATCCCATCTGCCATTCCACAGATCTGTACAAGATCATTGCGGGACAGTTTGAGCAAATCAGTACCTGGGGGGGAGAAAAGAATTTGAAATTTGCTGATAATTGATCATTTTCAGAGAGCAAGGCAGAATTGGATAAATGTTTATTTTGCTATATTCTGATCCATCACAATGCACAATGTAGTTACAATTCTTTTTTTTCATATTCACAATATCAGAGACTGGCAGAGCCCATTTTTCATTATTATATTTTATTGCATAATTAATATATATGGTGTCTTGCAGAGTAACTTAAGAAAAAAGAAGAAAAAACATCTAAGAAGAAAGTTGTAATTTAAATTCAGCTTTGGTATTTCCTTTATCCTCTACAGC